TTACTATTCATTAAATAAAAAAACTACATTAAGGATACGTATGTATAAATAAAAAACATAGAAAGGAACAAATTTTGGAACTATAACATGTATTTCACAATAGAAGAATCCCACAACTCAATGTTTAAGTAATCTCTACGTATAATCGAAATTCCTCATGTTACACGTTAATATTCGAAATTGTGAAAAGAATGAGAATCTCATATTCGTTATAGAATGAGATAAATTACCTTTGCAAGATTGACATAGAAGAACAGAGGTTTCTTAGTGTTGGACACTTGAATTCTGTTCTTCTTCTGGTTTTCGTTGTTTGTTTGTTTAGTTTCGGCCGGTGCCATTGTCATCTTTTTCTTGATGAAGAAACTTTTTGCGGCCGCTTTGTGTTATATATTTTGCCACTCGAAACTTTTGTTGTTCTATGGATAGAGAGGGCTTACTTGAAAAATAAACATGCACATGGGTTTTATAACAAAATTAACCAGTGGAACTCCTGAAAAATAGTTGTGTTTTGACTGTGTAAACATCAATTGAGGGTCAAGAGAGAAATGACAATTGGTTGTTAAAGGATGAAAGGATGAGAATAAAAACATAGCTATTGTGTAGATTGTATATCAAAAGCTATATATATCAAATCCAATAATAGTAAGATTATCTTTACCATAAGCACTTGAATGACTATTTTTTGCTCATGAAGGGAGGTTGTTGTAACAGTAAAGTATGTTTAATATAGTCAAAAATTGAAAGTATTTGAGTGATTTGATTGGAAATTTGGACCAATGGTTGGAGAGAACATTTTCTTCATTTTGCATTAATAGATGTACTTTTATTGAAAAAAGTATGTCACGTTATATTGACTATGGTGCGCGACAAAGAACTATATTTTAAATACTGTGAATCCCAGTGGTTAATTGAGTTAGGCTATGTTTAATAAAACTAGTTAATAGTTGATAAATTAGCTCATAACTTAGATGTAATTTTCGAGTTTAAAACTTATGACTTATAACTGAAAAATTAACTCATATGATAAAAATGTTTGGTAAAATTAACTCATAAACTAATTGAAATAAAAATTTTCAACAAATTTATTTAAAAATTCAAAATAAACATCATCACATTAATGTAAAACATTCACTTCAGGTCAATGTAACATAAACACTGAGCTCAAAATATCTCATCTTTAGTCAAAAAATTAGTTTTTGCTGAAACAAAAATTTAAGTATTCTTGGTGAAACCAAATAATATAGATTAGACTTTCAAACTTCTCAACATGGAGCTCAAAAGGGAAACTTTGGCCGGTGATTGCTGCTTGTAGATTTTCTCCAGTGCTTTTGCTGAGAGGGATTGCAGTTCCGAGCTTTCTTTATCTTCTTTGTTACGCCCTTTTGCCAGCTGGCTGATAGCAGAAACACACTGAAAATAAAAGTCGAACCGTCTCAGCAGAAATCACGATCAAACCCTTTCAATAGCTACAGGAAGTACAAAAATATAGAAGACATAATTAACTCAAAGGGAGAGAGAGTGTAAGAGAATTAATTTACTAAGCATATGCCAAGAAGAGCTCGAACATTCTTGCCACCGGTTAAGTCTATGGTTGCTGCATAATATTTCTTCGCTGCATGAAGATTTTCGAGTCCTCCAAGTGTATATAGCACCTAGATTATTACAATTAAACAAAAAGAAATATTTACAGAAATTCCAATTATTTTTTGAAAATTACATGTATTTCTTGAGGTTTATGCTTTACTGACAATGTGGACCCCTCAATTATGAGATATTGGTAAAGTACAAAGGAGTGCAATTTATTTATTTATTATATTTTTTTTATTTTTTGGTAACACTTAACTTGTAACTATCACTAAATTGTACTTGTAAAATATGAACATGTGAGCCAATCAGTTTCTTGTTCTAGAGACATGCAAGAACAAGAGATTCACAATCACAAACAACCAAATTGTACTTTTTTTTCGTGACAAATTCTATAATTATTCATCATCGGGTACTAGTGAAGAACCCTACAAGAGTGCACCAATGAAAATAAATGTAAATTTAAATGTAAAAAACAAACGAAAGAAATCCCCAAAAAGTTACTCACATCAGCATAGGCGAGATGATATAATGGAATGGTTGGCTGAGATAAGATCAGTTCCTCATAACAGAAGGCAGCTTGCTTATACCTAATGCGAGTAAGATAGAGAGAGGAAGAAAAATAACCAAAAAAAAAAAAAAGAATTATGAAAGAAAATTTGTCCATTGCCAATGGAGCTGGAAGAGTCATTGTTGACAATTCTCCTGGCATAGTGCTAATATGGACTAGATCAAAATGGCTCAATTAAATTCTAGTGCTTCTTCTATTAGTGAAGTTTCTAGGAAAAAAAAAATATATCAAACGGCGCAATGCACCTTGGGTCGCTATGGAAACAGCCTCCTTGTATAATTACAAGGGTAAGTCTAAGTACAACTGACCCCCCAGACCCCAACCTGTTGGGAATGTACTGGGTATGTTGTTGTTGTTGTTGTTGTAATTATGAAAGAAAAATTACATGAGAAACTCTAGAAATATAAACAAACACTCACATTTGCAGAGAGATGTAAATTTCAGCTAGCTCTCTCCATGCATCATGATCAGCCATGAATCTGGGTAATAACCAAACAATCAACAATATTGCTTTAAAATCTCCAGATAATCTCACTCTTTCAATTTGCTTACATTTCAAGATACTTCTTTAACCATTCGATTGCTTGTGAAAGATTCCCTTCAGCCTTTGCAATAGCCACCCTTCTTTTGTGTATTACCTGCGTACCATTTTACAAAAGAGTATGGGGACAAATGCATGTATATTCTTTTACTTTCAAAATTAACAAAACATAGTTAAAAAAATAAATAAATAAATATTTTAGCCTACCTGATCAAATTGATTTTCCTCTAACAAGCTTGAGTAAGCCTTTTCAGCCTCTGCCAACTTTCCTTGAGCTTCAAGCGACATTGCTTCAAGCCTACCTGCAAAAAAATAAGAAAAACTTTTAACGGATTATTACTTCTTCAAGCACCAAGTCAATGAATAATCTGAAATCGTACAGCGAATATAAGCAGTGACAATTGATTATCTTGAAAACATTTAGGTCCTAAAGGGTTATGCATACTAAGAACCAAAAACAAGACCTGAAAAATTTAAGAGATGGAACTAAAAAAGGCCTTGTGAGCATAAATTTGCATCAACATAGCCTAATAGAGGACTTGAGCCTATGTAATGGATTTACACATGATATATATAATACCATGACAAAAAGCAGAAGCAAAGAAGAAGAAAACATGATTTTATGAAGCCAAATCTGCTTAAACAAGAAGCCAAAAATAAACAAAATTCTGGCCACCATTTACAGTTTATTTCCAACCATAATTGGAGACCTACGTGAAGGCTCGGTTTCTTGTTTCGGAAGATCACAAGCAGGTCCGATTGAATTATAAGATTCTTTTACCAAGATTTGACAGTTAAAAGAATTTTAAATTGCTAACAATGGTCGAGAAATCTCATTAACTACTTGCTTACGGCAAAGGAATGAAGAAATCTTTTATGAAAAAGCACATAATAATTGGCTTCTGCAATATATATGCCGAATAAATCTCAAGCTTTTAGTTGCATGTGATTGCTTAAATAATGGATCTATGAGAATAAGCTGTGGCCACAGAGACTGATTAGATGCAATGTATTATCAGTTTTCAAACTTACCAACTCGTTTACTCTCAGGAAATTTCTTCTGTAAGACCTTGACATATTCCTGCAGGAAAAGGTCACCAATTAAACACATGGGGCCATATTCAGAACATATAACATTTCCTCAAAGGAAATTAAATATACATTTCAAATTTTCTCAGCTAGGACATGATGGATCGTTCACATAAAACTTCCATAGCCAGTTTTGACCCAAAGTATCAAACTCTAACATTAGCTTTAACATATGCAAACCTAAACTAATCAGTGGAATAAACAGACGGCTTTGATTTCGGAGAGTCAACTGAATAATGTCTACAGAATCTCTAGTTCATTTGCATTTTTTTTGTTTGTGAAATAGACAAGAGCACAAAGGTATGTAACATGGTAACTATTAACAGACTTTAACCCTCAAAATTTTAAGAGTGACATTAATAATCATTCAGATGTCTACTATAGTACTATGAGTTTTTTTTTATAAGAAACGCATAATTTGTCTATGTCGAAAATTAATCACATGTGGATAATGTATCTAAAAAAGACTCTGTACGGTCCAGAAAGTATCATCATAAAGCAAATATATAGTCTCTCAAGAAATTACCGTAGACAAACAATGATTGATTTATGAACCATGAAGTTGCAGTACACGCAAATCCAATTTTATACCAACACTTTAAAATGGACTTTTCCATATTCTTTAAATCCTATTGTTTCTCTCCAACAATATGGACCACCAAAATCATAATCAATCAGAAGGAGCTTTGAATTGGCCAGTGCAGCAAAACATGAACATAATTGAGTTGCAAATGAACAACAGAAAAATGTGATCCTGAGTCTCCCAATCTGGCTATACAGACCGCTCCTTCCAATATTATGCACACCCACTATATATATATATACATGCTTTTCCTCTGAATCACATCACAAATAATTCTTATCTGTCCTAGTATCACCAACCAATAAATTAGTTAAACCTTTTTGGGCACTTGTGATTTTCAATACTCCATCACAAGTTCAGATCTTTCCACTTGCTTCTATCCTATGTCCCTTCAACTCTAAACTCTTTTGTTGTAGTAAGACCCCTAGAATATAAGTGAGTCTTGTGCAAGAAAAACATAAATGAACTATGAGCCAAAAAGAGTACATCAGAAGTATATAAGGATAAGAAAATGCGAGAGGTGGGATCACTGCAATATGTACTGACTAAAACACTACACAACAAGGAAATATAACACAACAATGTTCAAATGCCTCATTGGGAAAAGAATTCCTCTACCTTAGCCAAATCAAGACGTTGGCAGTCCATAGCTGCAACAGCAACTTGCTCATATAAAGTCCATTCTACATCAATCGGAAGGAAGAAAAAGGTAAATCAAACAATTTGTATGATAAAGCATGGAGGGTCCCAATTATCATTCTGCATCACCAAAATTTAATATCTAACTATCCATGATTGGAAATTACCAAAACAGTTATTATATTACGGATTAAAAGCCTCTTTAGCAAGTAATGCCTATTCAGAAAATCTACGACTGCAAGCATTAATCAAATTGATGACTGAATGTTATTGGTCAGATTGTATAGATCATCAATAAACATGCAATAAAGGATCGCAATTTAATGTCAGTCGCTTTAATTCTGCAGCTGGAAACAGGAAACAATGGTAAAAAAGCTGCAAATCACTTGTCACGAATAACTTCATAACAGCATCCCCAAGCACTAAAATTCTGTTGAACCAAGAATAACTAGACAGATTGCTGCATTCCAATCAGAAATTTCCAACTCTCAAGTGAGTGGTTGCCAATTGCCATCAACTGAAAAAATATACCGACTTTAGGGACAGATTGCATAAGTGTCATTGTATCTCAAATGAAGACACTTTCCAATTCCGAACTGTCATCACAGTTTCTCATAATGACTCGAACATCACATTGCACTAGCTTCAGAAACTGACCTGTGATGGAACAAGCTGTTCTAAAAGACTAAAACCCACATACTATTCATCCGACTCTTGCCCACAGTAAAAGAATAAGCTGCAATTATGTGAGCGCCCCCAATTTCCAATATCTCGATCTACTTTCAAAGATTCATTCGAAAAAAGTTCGAAGAGAAACAAAGGATAAGAAAACAAATACCTTCTGGGCCAAGTGCAGATCGCTTTTTGGAGTCATTAAGAATCGAGCAGCCGTACTTCAGGACCTTGTCCGACCGGCGAAGCTTGAGCTTTCTGACGAGGCAGAGATACTCCCACGCGCCGCCTCCCCCATTCTCCACTTGGGTTTCCAATCTGTTCACTTGTTCTTCCTCTGTTTTGCTCACCATCTTCCCCTTCTCCCTCTATTTGGATCCGGAGATTGCTTGAAGTATTTAAAGAACTCCTGTAAGCTGCGCGGGTGGCTTTGGACGGCAAAGGAGCCAACTTTGGTTGCGAGGGCAATCAGAAAATTGCTATATGGACTCTATTCACATTGTGAGGTTGATAATCTTCATTAGCTTCGCTAATACCTTGTTTGGGTCATTGTATTTTGTACGGCTAAGCATTAAAAATTGGATCTCTATAATATGTGCATATAAGATGGTGACGAGTTTTGCAAATCTTAAAACTTCGAGAAAATATCAACGACTATGTTTTGATCACATAAATTGAGAGGTCTAACTGAAAATGGGTACTTGGTAGGCTCAAGAGGAATAAAATCCTAAAGTGTGACTAGAATTTGGATGATTTTATTGTATTTAGAAAATAGTTAAGTGATATATATATATATATTTTTTTTTTTTAAGAAGTGAAATTTTTATTTTTTAATTTGATGTAAACAGAATAAGATAATAAGCGGTAGTTGGAGATTGTTGGTTCTTATAATTATTAGGCAATCAAATTCTTCCATCAAATATACATATTTCTATAATTCAATATTATATTGTAAAATATAATAAATAAATGTTACTCCAACCTCCTGCTAGTAAATTGCAATATGAGCGAAAAGGGGATATATTAAATCAGAACGTGCTGAGCCTATGTGGCAGGCTCGCATGCTTCGGAATCCTATGTGGCAAAATTACATGCTTCGTTATTAGGCTTGGGTAGATTTAATTTACTTCTAATTCAAAAATATTTAGGTTTGGATGATCTATAAATATGTTGATTATTTATGGTTGGGCACGGTCCGGGACGATCCTGGATTTGACTTGTCCGGATACCAATCCCACTTTTATGAATCCGTCCATGAACGATCCGAGATGAGGCACCGTCCCCACCCATATAATACATGAGTGTTGTACTAGTTGATTTGATTTGCAAAGCATGTGGTGATGGCCCATAATCTACAGAGCATCTCTTCTTTCATTGTGCTAGAGCTAAAATGATCTTGGAGCTATCACCTACAACTTGGGATGGCTTGGTTCAGAAGACTGCTGATTTCAAAGGTTGGTGGTTGTGCTTAAAGAAGAAAAGCCCCTCAACTGATGACAGGATCCAACTCACCTCATATCTGTTATGGGGAATTTGGAAAGCACGTAATCAATGGGTGTTTGAACAAGTCCAAAGACCAGCAAAGGAGGTCGTGCAATTTACTCTGAATGATTGGTTAGAATTCTCAGACAAAGGATCAAACTAAATTGAAGATCAACTAGGTTTTTTTAGTGTTCAGTGGTTGTTATTTAATTTTAGATGTTCCTTTGTTTTACTTTTATGTATTCTGTTGGTTTCTGTGTGCTTAGAATGTAGTCTCATTGGGTCTGTGAAGTTGGCATTTGGTCAGGTGGTGATGATTGTTCTCAGGCAGATGGCTGGAGGGTCTAAGTTTGTTAGGTTGTGTTGAGTAGGTTGTTGTAGCTTAGGTCATGTTTGTTTATGAAAATTTTCAAAATATTTCTAACATTTTAACTCAATCACTTTTTTTTAACTCAATCCTATTATCATCAAAATTATCAATATAATTAAATAATATCAATCAATCATCCATACACACCACATCAACCTTAATTCACTATTCATCCACTCACATTATTTTAACTAACTATCACTTCAAATCTCTCTCTCCTACTTTTACATCAAATCAATTTTAATTATTTTATTTTAAATATTATTTTAATATACCCACTAACAACTAACCATACCATCTTTTTCAAAATTAACCAAACTAAATCAAAAAATTCAAACAAAATAAAAAAATTTTATAAACAAACATGCTTTTAGTCTCTGTTACCCAATATCAAATATGTGTAAGGCTTCTAGGACACCATTGGTGATCCTCTTGTCTAGGAGTTAAACTCCATCTGGGCTAGTATGATCACGAACTGTGTACATTCATTTTAGTTTAATTTCATTCATCATTTCTTTTAAAAAAAAAAACAATAGTAAGTAGTAACAAACCTATTTGGTGATTCCTTAACGATACATTACAACTTTCTATTCCAAATTTTGATTTTTTTTAATAAAAAATTCATTTTGTTTGAGTTCTTGAAAAAACTTCTGTGGGGATGATGTAAGACTTCGTGTATGCAAGCTTTCAAAAATTCAAACGTAATTATAAATAAATTAAATATTTCATAACTTTTTTTTTAATTTTAAATGAAAGTCTCAAGTATTATTATTGGAAGTAGGTGTTTGGATTGAGTTTGATTTATTGAATGACATGAGTTAAGATTGAAAGACAAATGAATGGGTGAAAGGTTGCATTTGATTTTGAGTTTATAAGGAATGGGTGAAATGATTAAATTTAAGGTAATATAAAAGTAATAAATTGATTATTGTAAATGAAAAATATGTGAACAGATGAATGGATTTTATTGCAAATTATATAACGATTATTAATTTATATTATTAAAATTATAATGATAATATTGAATAATGTTAAGTTGCATTAGATTTAGGTTGTAGTTTAAATTAAATTTTGTATCTAGTTGTAGTTCCATTAAAAAAAATTACCCTACAAGACAAAATAAAAAAAAGGATAGTAATAAATAAATTTCAAATTAATATTTATTATTTATATTGAGAAACATATATTAATAAATTTATTATCAAATTATATTAATTAGAACAACTAAAAAATATTTGTGATCTCAAACTCATACCAAAAATTATATTAGAAATTAGAATCGGTGACATTCGAAATATTCCACTTTCTGGGAGACTGCCATGTAATTATAAGAAGAGTCCGCCGTCGTCCTCCGAAGCTGTGTGGAGTGGTTTCTTCAATCAGATCAGATAAAATATACACACTCGCGAATAATCCTATTCTCTCCCAACCCAACAGATAAACGTGCAGACCCTCGCTAAATTCTGTAATATCATCAAAACCCTATTGCTTTCTTCTAAAACCCCACTGCAGCTTTGTTCGATTTCGTCGCCTGAATGTGAGTATACATGTTCTTGACTTCTTGTTCGCTGCTTTGTGTTTCTTTCCTTTTTTCTGATACGGGCCCCAAGTAAAATGACCGAATTTGTGCAAATTTCTGTGTTTGGCATATGGGCCGCAGATTTTATGTAGTTTCTTATATGTGTGTGTGTTTAGGTTTAGCTTAAGTTGAAAATTTCAATATTTCTTAAATTTTGTTCGACAAACTTCTTCAAGCCACTCGTCATGAAAGATTGTTGTGTCGAAGGTCCATAAAATATGAGAATGCCTACACTGCTGCCTTAACGAGTACCTATAAGTGCGATATTCGAAAGCACTTGAAATTTGGGATTTTGAAATTAGGCTTTCCCAAGGATATATGATAGGAATTTGCAAAATGTCACCTTTTGTTTTTTTGTGTTGGCAAAAGTGCTACCCTTGCCTTTCACGACCGAACGAAGACCTATATAACAACTGATTTTACGACGAAGGGTGCCATTTTTGCAAAGATAAACTGAAAAGGTAGCATCTTTTCTATCTTCCTTTATCATATTTTTGGTTCCTGGTGACGGTCCTATATTTGTTAACTGTAATATTTTATTATGTAGGTATGTTGTGATTAAGGGTAATAAAAGGGTTTTTGTTGTTTTGTCGTCCTTTTGATGTATTGAATTTGTAAGTTGGTTGTCTTGATGAAATGTGGCTTTGCTGCTCCTCGTTTTTGTATTGTAAGATGACTGGTTATCGAAGTGGAAACTAAAGGCAAATTGTTTTCGCCCACTATTGCATACAATGTTTTTTTTTTCCCACATTTCTAAAATCTCGCCAGCATACCTCTCTCGGTACCCAGATCTGTTATCTGTGTTGCTAATTTGTTGAAGTGACTGCAATGCACATGCACACTTGCTGTGAAGTGAAGGCACAATATTCATTTACATGCAGCACAATCAACTTGTATTGTTTTCATGTAAATTGTGTGCTGTCTTCATATCTGGTCCCAAATTGAATGGTGCGTCCTCACATGTATCTCGTTGCATCAGCATCTGAGTTGTTGGACAGTAAAATTTTACTGTTCATTAGGAAATATCTGGGGATTCGATCGTAAATTTAATAACTTTTGATGGTTATATGCAAGTTTATAGTTTATACAGAACTCATGCTTTTTTCTTAAATACTTTAATGTAGAAACTTGATGGCTGAAATTGATCAGAATCATACCGAACCTGAACAAGATAATGAAACTGAGTATCAACCTGAAATTGCACATGAAAATGAAACTGAATTTGTACATGAACTTGCACATGTACCTGAACCTGAGAAAGACAAACCTGAACTGGAAGATGGAGTACAAGAGAATGTTGGTCCTGAAGAACAGGATCATGCAAATGAAACAGTTGATGGAGGTGCCGAAAAATGGCCAGGTTGGCCTGGAGAGTGTGTTTTCAGGATACTGGTGCCTGCACAGAAAGTTGGAAGTATAATTGGACGTAAAGGAGAATACATAAAAAAAACATGTGAAGAGACAAAAGCTCGGATTAAAATTCTTGATGGTCCTCCAGGAATGAGAGAAAGAGCAGTAAGTAAACAATTTGACGTGCTTTTAAATCATACTATTACATGTTTAACAGGGACGTACGCAGGATGCATTACGTAACATGTTCTCCTGTATCTCTCTGAAGTATGTTAGTTGTTATGTCAGTTTTGTCTCAGATTTTTTAATTCTTAATAATTTTCAAAGGCTGATGTTTAGGAGTAGAGACTTGTTAGCTTCTTTCTTTGATGGTCTGGCGTTTTAGTTATCTATCTATTTCAATTCTGAATTGCTGTTACATTTGCAGCATTAAGATGAACTTAATGGGTCATCCATGTGAAGTTTCATACACACTTCACTGTGCTATAAATATGTTTACTAAGATTTAGATATGTGCTTACTGAATGTGTGTGTGTGTGTGTGTATAGGGATTATCATGGGCCAAGTTCTTGCTTTATTAGTTGGTTTGAGTCTTTTAGTGTTTTGTCTCTTGCTTCAAGTAATAACAAACTAGATTTACATACATGCAGAAGTAAATGTCTTTATATTATTTTTGCCCTTTTTTTAATATCTGCGTTCCTATTTGTCAATGCTCTGTTGGTTTTTAATACTAAACTTCAATTAATCCCAGTGTTATGCTCAATCAAGAACATAACAGATAGCTTTTGTATGATAGCTCAAAGCTTACATGATATTTAAATTTTTGGCTGCTTCATAGTGCAATACAAGCTGCTCTCCCTCTCTATTATTTTAATTTTATTTTTTACAGTCTGTTTGTTTCAATACAGACTACCTGATTTTGCTAGTTGTATTGTAAATCAGACATTGCTTGCAAGGGAGGTGTGAGGTGGCTTTGGAAGCGTGAGATATTTTCTATTTGAATCACAAATAGCATTAATAAACAGCTGTTCACAACTTCACGTGTGTGTAATATAATCATTAGTTATGCTATAACCTTATGAACCTTGGAAACTTACAACCCTAGTATATGAGTAAGATGGTATTACTACAGGATGAACTTCAAATATGATGGTGGAGCATGACCAAATACCCTGAAGATTTCATTCTTAAAATTTGGAGCATATTATTTGGTTATGAGATATATTAACCAAATTAATGTAACTGCACATGTAAGTGCATTTATGGGGCAAGTCTAATGAACATTGTGACTGGATTTAAAGTTAAAATTAGATACCGAGGACTGTTCATGAAGATGGTGACAACTGTTTTATTGAATTTTTTCATGATTTCTCAGACTTGTCATCTGAAGGGAGCCAATGCCAACTTTTGTCCTTAAGATAATTTTTGGGGACTTCCGTAAAGAATGTATTAGCAGTGTGACTCAAGGTATAACTATGGAGTCCACTTGAAGAATGTGATGTCAGTGCGAATTATCATAATTTCAATTCTACATTGCCATATGTAGGGATACATCGAGAGTTCTGACGAGTTAATAAGATGGTAATTGATCAATGGCTCTGTCGTAAACCACATTTGAGAGCTCATGATGTATTTTCCAGGTGAAGATAATAATGATGTCTATAGTGACATTTATGTAAATAGCTAAAAAAATTTGATATATTCTACTAAAACCTGCAATTGAAAGGATTTTCAGCAACCAATCTTTACCATGGACCTACTTTGTACCCCTCTAAGTTTGGAAGCAATGAAATTTATCTGGCCAATAAACCGATGATAGCCTTTCTTTGAGAATGCTGCCAATTCTAAGAAGGGTTGTGAAATTGCAGGTATGCAGCATAACAATCAGAATCTATGAAGAGGATTTTCTTTATGGATGCAGTTCTCAAAATAAATTTAGGCTCGAGAGATTCATGGTTTTCTAGGGTCAGAGAGACTAAAACACAGAAGAGGTCCTGGCCTATTTACTCTTGTCATATTTTCGGATTTTCTCAATATCTGTGTTTGCTCTCCTACTGATTATCCACTAAATCAGATCTGTCACGTGTAGAGATGACATACTTCTTCCTTTGATTCCGGAATTAATGACCCTTCCAGCTGACTGGAGCAATAAATCTTCCATAGGTTTGCTTAGTAGAGAATAAATATTAAATAATCCAAAAATTTCAGTTAGATTAACAGAATTATACTTCTTTAAGCGACCTATAATGATGGGGAGCAATAATGTATCATAATAGAATATAATCCTTTCGTATATGTTATTTAATTTAATTACTGAACTAGTTAATATGCAATTTATACTGAGAACAGTAAATGTTGGCCTTTGAGTGATCCTTTTTTCTTCTTATATGAATATATCGAGCACACTAATGTGGAAATTCACCTATTTTTCGTTGGTGGTAACTTAACCTTGGTGTTCTGGGCTGGAAATGTATTTTAAAGTTTGTGAAAAAAATATAATCACAAATCTCGCTTAGGGTTCATAGTGCAAATTGTTTGCTTACGTAGCTTTTTATTTTTATTTTTTCGCGACAGGTAATGATATCTGCCAAAGACGAGCCCAGTGCTCTTCTTCCGCCAGCTGTAAATGGTCTTCTCAGAGTGCACGCACGTGTCATGGAGGGAATTGAAAATGATTCTTCTCAACCTGCACCGGGTTTAGGTGGAAAAGTCTCGACAAGACTGCTTTTGCCAGCTGCTCAAGCAGGAAGTTTGATTGGTAAACAAGGCACTACGGTCAAATCCATCCAAGAAGAGTCTAATTGCATTGTTAGGGTTCTTGGAGCAGGTTTTTATTTACATCTCCTTTTGTCTAATAGAATATCGTAGA